GACTCCACCGCTAGGTGGTCGCCAGGGTCTCTCTCTCTCTCTCGGTGGATCCGTGCTTAGGGTCTGAGGTTTTCTGGCGATCTCGGCGTCTCCCCGCCTTTACCACCACCACCCCCACCCCCAGCTCGCACGCACACCAGGCCTCGCACTCACACCAGGCCTCGCCCGCAACACTAGGCCGCGCTCGAGGCCTCCGCCGCGGCCGTTCGCCGTTTACGGCGGTTAAAGCAGCAGCAAACAAACAAGCAAAATCCGCGAGCTGGCGTCGCCTTTACCGCAAATCGTTTGGGTCGCGTCCCGTCAGCTTCTTGATGTTCTCGTCCACGCTGTGGAGGCTCTGGCGAGCGCGCTCCAGCTGCTCCCGCAGGCTCGACGCCTCCACCGCCATTGCGACTGCTGCTGCTGCTCACCTCGCTGGCGCGCGCGCACGGCACTCTGGGGGATGATGGGTGGGCGGGAGGAACCCGCGCACGGCCAATGGCGAGGCGTTGTGCGCGAGGGCACGTGACCTCTGGGCGCGGGCAGCCAATAGCGACGGCCGGAGGGGGCGCGCGTGCACGCGCGCGCGAAGCCAGCGTCCCGGATGCTCGGATTGCGTTTAATTCGCTCGATGTGCGCCGCGCGCTTCCATTCATTCGTCATTCTAGCAAGCTGGATTCGCGTCGTGCCATCGATTCATTCGTGCACTGCCACTCATTCGTCATTCAGGCAGTGCCACTCGTTCAGTGTCACGTATTCATAGCTGTCAAACCCTCATTAGTGCCGACTACCGTATTACAGACTAATTCAGACCTTATTGGTCGCCCGCGCTCCTTGTAAAATCTCAACGTTCATCATACAAAGTCCCATCACAAGGGAGAAACACAAACAAATAGACACGAAATTATGTTACTAAACAAAAGCTGTTGTATCTATTAATTTTGATATTTGGTGTCGATGATGCTACTTTTCATGCTACTCTTTGGTTGTTTCGGTAAAGTCACGTAGAAATGAAATAAATTAATAGAATACGACGTTACGATTGCAACACAAGCAGTCGTCATCAGGTAGAACCATGGGCGGAGCCACAGGGGGGGCTGGGGGGGGCTCAGCCCCCCCTGAAATTTTGGGAAAGTCGGTAATCGGAATAACCGGATATCAGGCTGCTGAAAAATGCTGCAGGCTGCCACCTCGTGTGCTGCCCTGCAGGCTGCCACCTCGTGTGCTGCCCTGCAGGCTGCCACCTCGTGCTGTCCTGCAGGCTGCCACCTTGTGCTGCTGCTCTGCAGGCTGCCACCTCGTGCTGCCCTGCAGGCTGCCACCTTGTGCTGCCCTGCAGGCTGCCACCTTGTGCTGCCCTGCAGGCTGCCACCTCGTGCTGCCCTGCAGGCTGCCACCTTGTGCTGCTGCCCTGCAGGCTGCCACCTCGTGCTGCCCTGCAGGCTGCCACCTCGTGCTGCCCTGCAGGCTGCCACCTTGTGCTGTCCTGCAGGCTGCCACCTCGTGCTACCCTGCAGGCTGCCACCTCGTGTTACCCTGCAGGCTGCCACCTTGTGTGCTGTCCTGCAGGCTGCCACCTTGTGCTGTCCTGCAGGCTGCCACCTTGTGCTGCCCTGCAGGCTGCCACCTTGTGCTGCCACCTTGTGCTGCCCTGCAGGCTGCCACCTCGTGCAGCCCTGCAGGCTGCTTGAGCGGCAGCCTTTCGAACTTATCGAACTTATTAGCCACATCAGCGGCTCCGACCTATTAATAAACTCCGCGTTCAAATCCAATAAAATTTGTTTTATACATTTGTGGCGCCCATTGGAAAACATAAACACTGGATATCTCAGAATATTGAAGTCAGCCCCCCCCCGAAGTCAAAATCCGTACAGGCGAGAGGACCTGTCATTGCAGCTGCTGTTGCTGCTCTCTCAACGCAGAGAAACTCATCTGCCGTGGGGAATTTGTAAAACCCCGACACAGACCACGAGACCATGGACGTCATTCACGTTTCATAAACCCGTATTATTTATTTATTTGCAGATTGTCGGAAAAGCCCCCACCACCCCCCCATCACCCTCCTCCACCTCCCCCACAATCGGTCCGGCTTAGAGAGGCTTTCTTCCTCTTAGTTTGACATCCACATCGCCGCAAGTCTCACGACATCACAGTCGTGAGGACGACGCGGGTGCCGAGATGGAGCCCCCCCCCACACCACACCACGAGCCTCTTCCCGTGGGCCGTTCAGTGGACACCGGCCGAGTGCCCCCCCCAACCCCCATCTCCGATTAGGAGACTCGACACCGCACGTCAAAATCCTCAAGACTAATCACCATATATGGTCATACTGCGTTGACAGTACTGAAAAGTCACAAACAACAAACAATAAACTGAACACGTATTTACTATTCTAGATTTGAAGCTTTCGTGACTGCAAGGATCCATACTCTTTGGTTCTATTCGGTAAAGTCACGTAGGTAAAAATAAAATAACAAAAAATCACGACGTTTCGGCCACAACACAAGTGGCCTTCATCAGGTGAAAGGAATGGACTGTCCAGAGGACGGCGTTGTGGCCGAAACGTCGTGATTTATTGTTATTTTATTTTTACCTACGTGACTTTAACGAATAGAATCAAAGAGTACGTATTCACTACTATAATGAGCAAATAGTGTCTGTGTGTCCCGCGCGTGACGTCACTCCACGTCGGCCAGCCCCTCCCCCTCCTCATTAATAATCATGAACAGGTTACGTCCTCCACATGGACTCCCACCTCATTAATAATCATGAGCGGGTGACGTCACTCCGCATGGAGAACCCCTCCCCCTCATGAATAATCATGAGCAGGTTACGTCCTCCAAATGGACAGCCCCCCCCGTCATTAATATTAATTAGCGGGTGACGTCACTCCTCACTACAAAGGCAGAACCCCCACGTCATCACGTGATCTCCGTAACGCTGTTGTTGAGACATCGAAGTAAAAAGGACGTCGTGATGAACAAGGGATTATAACCTTTAAATGAAATAAGTCTGTGTCACCGCGGCCTTACAAATTGCACACGCATTAATGCAATGCATTATCACGTCGCGGTCTGCTTTTCACTTGTAAGTTTCAGATTTACTCAAATACACCTGTCCTTGGACGGGCAAAAGGCTAGTATGTCAATAACACTGCCTTACAATAACACATAGATACATAACATATTTAAAATACATCATCGATACGCTCTTTAAAGACAGCGGTGCTTTTTTTTTGACGAATCGTGTCGAGTTTTATGTTCCCACAAAGCCGCTCCACGCGCCAGGTACTTGGAAGCGAACTTTTGACACGGGGAGGGCTTCAGCAAGTGCGGTCCACGGTTCTCAACAGGTGAACGCCTTTAAAACGTGGCAGAGGCTGCGGCGTGGTTAACGTGAAGGATAACACCTCTTTTCCCATAATAAAGGTGTTTGGTATTCTTGGTTCTTTCGGTAAAGTCACGTAGAAGGGAAACAATAAAATAATTAAAACATTTATCACGACGTTTCGACTGCAACACAAGCAGTCATCATCAAATTTTCTTGCTGTGATTTTCACACCTGATGATGATTGCTTGTGTTGCAGTCGAAACGTCGTGAGAATTTTATTGTTTTATTATTTTTTTGTCTCCCTTCTACGTGACTTTACCGAAATAACCAAGAATATGAATCACTGCAGTCACGAAAGCTTTAAATCAAAGGTGTTTGGGTTAGATCGCGTTAGGATAAATGTGTCGTAACCCTCCACCACCCGACACAGCCAGTAAGGTTTGTCAAGTTTGTCACGGATGGTGGAGGGTTACGACGCATTTATACCTCCGAGATCTAACCCAATAACCTTGATGATGAATAATATTGATCGCGAAGGCCCAAGTGTTAAACCTCTTTTCCCAATACAAAACGAGAGGCGCTAGATTGTTTTTGTTTTTCCACTGTAACCGAGCCGTGCCGCTGACGTCACGTGCGATGAAGCACACCAAAAAGGTTGAGACCCACCGCTGTTACACTTCATTGCTGCAGCACTCATCACGATGCACTCATCATAAGTCAACACGTGCAGCCCTTTTGCGTCAACCCACTGCTGGATGACGGCTTCCCCGCGCCACGTGAGTGATGGGGGTATTTGACTATACCTCCCCACGATGTCCAGGTACGGGTTGGTAAAATTGGGACCGCGACGTCGACAGTACGTACAAGTACTATCGATTCTAGATTTGAAGTTTTCGTGACTGCAAGGATTCATACTCTTTGCTTTTTTTCGGTAAAGTCACGTAGGTAAAAAAATATAATACAATATAAATAAACAACTAAATTAAATCACGACGTTTCGGGCGCAACACAAGCGTCCTTATTCTTGGTTCTTTCGGTAAAGTCACGTGACTTTACCGAAAGAACCAAGAATATGAATCCCTGCAGTCACGAAAGCTTTAAATCAAAATGCAAGCGTCCTTCTTCAGGTGCGAAAGCACAAACGCTTTAAGTGTGTCTCAGAGCCATCTCTGAGACACACTTAAGCGTTTGTGCTTTCGCTACGTTGTCCCCACCTGAAGAAGGACGCTTGTGTCGCGCCCGAAACGTCGTGACTTAATTTAGTTTTTTTTTCATTTTATTTTATTATTTTTACCTACGTGACTTTACCGAAAAAACCAGAGTACTATCGACATTGCTGCACTGCCCTCTGCTGCTCACAAACGCAATTGCACAATGCGCTCACCGCAGTGTTGATACATTATTCAGTCAGCACCCATGACAACTGGCCACTCTTCTTCATTCGCATTCACTCGTTCGTCGCTCGCTCTTTAACGCATTCATTCTCACTCACTACTGTCCACGCATTCACTCGCCAATCACCCCATGCTCAATACCCCCTGAGTCACCGTTCAGTCACCCCGTAATTAACGTTTCGGAGACTCCGAGACCACGGAACCCAGTGTGACACAGGGAATAAGGGACCCAGAAATAGGGGGTTTAGAGGCAAGGGGACCCAGAGACAGGTGGATTAGAGGGGGGGGGGGGGGGGGGGGGGGGCTTAGAGAGCAGGGGACCCGGGGCGGGGTTCTGGAGTAATTGCCCGCGTCCGGGAGGCACCGCCCTGTGACCCCCTTCGCCGCTCCCACCACCACCAGCGGCATCGACGGCGGCGTCTCCACGCTCTGCCGACGCAGATCGCCACTGCACGAGGCGGCACTGAGCAGCGGAGACCCCTCCCCCCCCTCCTCCGGCAGAGCCCGTGCGGCCAGAACCCCTTGTCGTCAGGGCCCCTGTGGCCGGGACCCCAGCGCGAGGCTCCCGGCCGCAATCCCGGAGACCGTGCGACGTGGGGAGACGGGCAGAGGAGCCATGGTGTCCTGGATGATCTCCCGCCTTATCGCGTGAGCATCTCCGCGTCTCTCTTCTCTCTCTCTCTCCCTGCCTCTTCCTTGCTTATCTCCGTTACGAACCTCATCCAATTTAGCTCTCCGTTTCTCTTCTCTCTCCTATTCCCGTCTCTGTCCCTGCCTCTCCACGTCTCTCTCCTCTCCACGTCTCTCTCCTCTCCCCGTCTCTATCTCTGCCTCTCCCCATCTCTATCTCTCTCCTCTCCCCGTCTCTATCCCTGCCTCTCCCCGTCTCTCTCCACGTCTCTCTCCTCTCCCCGTCTCTATCCCTGCCTCTCCCCGTCTCTCTCCTCTCCCTGTCCGCACCGCGCCTTCTGTTGTTGCCTCATCGTCCCTGCGCCGGGACTGCGGAGCCGCGATGACGATGGTGGTGGTGATGATGATGGCTGTGATGGTTATGTCGGTGATGGTTATGGTAGTGACGATGGTGATGGTTATGGTGTTGACGGTAACGGTGGTTGTCACGTTTTTGATAGCGGTCGTGATGGTTATTGTGGTGATGGCGGTGGTATTTATGATGATGTTTTACGTGGTTCGTAATCCGCCGCACTGCGTAGTGTTTGGGGCAGGTCAGGTGTTCGGGTTATGGGTCAGCCCTGCCGGGTTCAGGGTATAGGGTCGGGTCAGGTTGAGAGAGGTCAGAGCCGAGCTGACCTTGCCCTGCCGCCTCGTCCCGCAGGCTGGTGTTCGGGACCCTGTACCCGGCATACTCGTCCTACAAGGCGGTGCGGACCAAGAACGTGCGTGAATACGTGAGTAGGGCCTCGGGGGACACGCTCCACCACGTACTGTGTGGGGGACGCGCCCTCCGTCTTGTGGACGCGTCGCCTACCCGCCCTAGTGACACTCTGCTGCTGTTGGACGTTGGGGGGGGGGGGCTCCCCTCGCCGTGGGTTATTTGTTCACATTTCCTCACGCTGGTCAGTGCGGTGGGTGTGGGGGGGGCATAGATGTGGAAGCATGGTGCAGTACAACGATGGATTTATGCAGAGCCCTCTGCTGCCCACAGACTGCATCAACCACCGTGCACCACAGGCTGTGCGAGCGTGCCTCCGTCTGTGTGACCCGGTGCGGTGTCCAGGAAACATCCCCACTAGGGAGACAAAGGTGGTCAGGAATGTTGTTGGTCACCCACCCCCACGTGTGCTGTGCCGGCCTTCATAGGTGCTCTCTAAGAGCAATTTCACCAACAGTCTGTTGAGGCTATACGGGGGATCTTTGTCTTTGTGGGTGATGTGCAGGTGAAGTGGATGATGTACTGGATCGTGTTTGCAATCTTCACCGCCGTGGAGACGTTCACGGACCTCGTGCTCGCGTGGTGAGTACCAACTCAAGAGAGAGAGGTCCAGTTTCGCTCCAGCAGGCCCCACGCGCATATTTGCATGAACGTGTGTGTGTACACGAGCGTGTGTGTGTGTATGTACACGAGTGTGTGTTTACACGAACGTGTATGTGTGTGTACACGAGCGGTAGTGAAGCAGTTAGCGCGCTGTAATGCGAAACCTGGTGACCCGGGTTCGATTCCCGCTCATAGCCAACACCAGTGAGGATTATCTGAACCGGTCCTGAGCCTCCCCTAGGTCAACTCAGACTCATTTGAGTACCTGGTGTGGTGTGTAACCACTAGAGAGACAAAGGCGGTCGGACGTGGTGCTGGCCTCCCACCCCCTCGTGTACCATTCCGGCCTTCATAGGTGCTCGCTAACAGCACTTGCCCCTACAGTCTGTTAAGGCTATACGGGGGATCTTTGTATGTGTACATGAGCGTGTGTTTACACGAGTGTGTGTGTGTACACGAGTGTGTGTGTGTGGTCCACTACCCACTGCGGTTTCGCTGCTCTCAAATGCATGGCCTGAGAAACGGCGCACGGGGCCCTGGCACCCCGACCCGTCGTGGTGCTGCCTCCAACATTGAGGTTAAACACGGAGCGACGACGGTCTCCTTGGTGGGAGTCCCCTTGGTGGAAGTCCCCGTGGTGGGAGTCCCCTTGGTGGAAGTCCACGTGGTGGGAGTCCACGTGGTGGGGTCCCTGTGACAGGATCTCCGTCCCTGTAGGTTCCCGTTCTACTACGAGCTGAAGATCTTCTTCGTCATCTGGCTGCTGTCCCCTTACACCAAGGGCTCCAGTACGCTGTACCGCAAGTTCGTGCACCCGGCGCTCTCCTCCAGGGAGCACGTGAGTGCCGTCACCCACGCGAGCCAGCGTCACCACTGTCACCACCGCCACCATCGCCGATGTTCCTCACAGACAACAATCCACACGTGTGTGTCTGTGTGTGCGCGTGTGTGCTCTGCTCTGGGGAGCAACCTGGTGGCCCAGGTTCGATTCCCACTCACAGTCGACAGCAATGACTATTATCCGAACCGGTCCTGGGGTTCCCCTAGGTCGACTCAGCCTGAAATGAGTACCTGGTGCGGTGTGTGTACCAGGTCAGAATCGATTTTGTATTTTTCGGTTTTGTATTTAGACTGGAGGAATCCGATGAGCCATGAAGCTCTTTTTCACAGATGTCCAGGAGGTAATAATAAACTCCAGCTCTGACAATTCAAAATATCAGTACAGCAGTCAAGCAACCGACATTACTCTGAAAGGTGGGTGGGTAAACAAACACGGTCCCTTCCCGTGCGGTGTGGAGTGTGCGTGTGTGGGGACCCGGAGCGCAAATTCTATTTTTTTCGGTTGAACCGGCGTGGTACTGAGAGACTAAGGTGGCCGGGCGTGGTCCCGTGCCGGCCGGCCTTCACAGGTGCTCGCTAAAAGCACTTTCCCCAAAAACGATGTGATGGCTATACGGGGGATCTTTGCCTTTGTGTGTAGGAAATCGATGAGTATTTGACACAGGCGAAGGAACGAAGCTACGAGACGGTCATGAGTTTCGGCAAACGCGGCCTCAACCTTGCCACATCCGCCGCTGTCACAGCCGCAGCCAAGGTACTCCCAGCTACATCCTTCTGCTCCACCCACTTCACCCTTCTGCTCCACCCACTCCACCCTCCGGCTCCACTCACTCCACATGCTCAACCATCCCGCTTCACCCTTCCAGCAGCACAATTTTTGCCGTGGCATCACTGCAGTACCCACATACCTATGTTAATGCATTAGGGGGATCTGTGGGTGCATGTGCAGGGCCAGGGAGCGTTGTCGGAGCGCTTGCGGAGCTTCAGCATGCAGGACCTGACCCTGATCCACCCGGACGTGCCGAGTCGCCGCGCCGGCTCCACACTCGACCCCATCGACGACTCCGGTGACTCCCCGGGGTCCCCTCACCATGGGCGCCACGGTGGCGAGATGTTAACTACCTGGCCTGGTATACAAGAGGTCGTAGGTTCGATCCCGACTCTGACGCCTGTATATTTGGAGTTTGCATGTTCTCCCTCTCCTCTAGTTTCCCCCCCCAGCCCCCCCCCCCCACATTTAGAAACATGCGTTTTGAGTGTTTGGCTGCTATACATTTCCACATGATGATAACGCACTTCGTTGAGCTATCATTTATGGCCAGGTCTGAAAAAAGAGCTATATAGCTCAGTGGGCCTTACCTGGTAAAATAAAAAATAGTTTAGTTTACCGCACGCGCACTACGGCACCCACTTCCGCAAACACGACAAACATTGCACGTGACTCGCACACGGCACCCCAACCACCCACGGTTGGTTGGAGTTGCCCGTGGTTGAGTGGCGTTGCCTGTGGTTCGTGTCGCCCATTGCTTGTCGCCCGCACGTGTAGACGAACCGAGCGTGAGTCTGCGCTCGGACGTGGCGGAGCAGTTGGAGGTGAGGACCGACCAATCAGACGAGGAGCCCGCGGAGGCCCCGCCCCCACGCCGCACTCAGAGTCTGAAAGCGAGCAAGGCCAAGGCCACGCGCAACGAGGTAATGGGGTCACGGAGTCACAGGTGGTAATGGGGCAACAGGACAAGGAGTACGGTTAGGGAGTAAACAAGAAATATGGTTAGGGCGTAGACTCAAAATGAAGGTTGTGGCTCAGGGTTAGACTCGGGGTCAGGATTCAGGGTGAGAGGTAGACCCAGGGACAGGGTTAGACTCAGAGTCAGGGCAACGATCGCGGATTCTGGATTCCGACCGCCGTTTTCCCGTCTGGCGGCCGTGCAGGCTCAGGTGCGCAGTGTGAAGGCCCGCTGCAGGAAGAAGGCTGCGCCAGACAACTACGACACCATGTAACACCCGTGCCATCCGCCCAGGCCATGGGGCCCCCCTCGTGCGGCGGAGGGCACCTCCGTCCTCCTACCTCCACACCACAGTGGCTCGTAGGAGAAGGTTACTGTGGGCACGCGAGGGGCGTGCTGGCCTTGGATTCGCACGCGGCTGTAGAAGCGGTGGCCACCTGCGCCCACCCCACTGATTTTAGCCATCGGCTTCCGGCATTGAAGCCGCTTTCACTGGGCACTGGGCATCAAAGAAAACCTCGTTAAGAAATTCGAACAACACATTTTGGGCACCTTTGTTGTTTGAAAACTCGGTCTGCGGTGAACAGGGTTCAACAATCGGAAGCTCCTGTTGCTTAAATCGGGGGGGGGGGGGGGGGGGGAGGGGGTTGGTGAGCATGCGACGACGCCCTGCCGCGTCTTCACCGTGCCCATGCACAAACTCCGCACTTTACACGGCGCCAGGGAACCCCCGGCTGCCAGCGCCACCACTCAAACCGGGGATCGAGCTGGGGACTCGGCCCCAGCGCCTCCGCTAGCGCCCCTCCTCACTCCGCTTGAGGTCATGCGACCGGCACGCGAGGGGGCCACCGCCGTCAGCAGAGGGCCGCGTGGCAGAATCCGTTGTTGCGCTGTGCTCTGCTACGGCGTTTGCTCTCGCCGCCTCTGCCGGCCCGCATTGACGGATATGGTGAAGTATGACCACATGACCCCCGCGAGCCCCCCGCCGTGCAGATGCCCTCCTCCAATAGGGCAGTGCATGTTACACGTGCCGGCCGTTCACTCCGAGGAAACGGGTTCAGAATGGGCATCGCTTGTTAAGACCAAGCTCGTACGAACCGACAGTGGAGGCGAGCACGAGAGGGATATTTGACCGAGCGTGAACTGTGCGAGTCTGACCTCCCGCTAGCCCCAGTTCGGAACAAAACCGTTCTCTATCAGGTCTGGCGTGAACCGACGCTACGGTGTCAACACTGTCCCCCCGACCCTGTGGATCGGACTCAGAACGGCGAGTTCGTGCCATAGCCATCAAGTGTGTGGGTGGCGAAACTACAAAGGGCTCAACTCGCCGGAGGTGCCTAGACACTCAGCTATGGAGAGAGGCGGGGGGCAAATTGAGAGGGTGGCATTTTGTTCCTGTCGCAGTGGCTCACGTCAGGTTGATTTTGAAGTGGCAGCCTTGCCCCGTTGGTTACGCGCGAGATTTTAAGTGTATTTCTTGTTCTTAGCTGTGACCTCATAAACCCCCCGCCACCATCCCCTCCACCGCCCCGACTGATGACCACTCCGCGGCCCCACACCCCTGCACCACCGTGGCATTGCCCCCGAGCTTAGCCACTGGGTTTGACTACTGCTGCTACCGAGACCTCCACGGGTCGGACGCGACTGTGATATGAGCGACGCGTAATTTATTGAGAGCGAATCGATGAGCGAGTACAAATGCGCACGCGCGCGTGCGCACGCACACCCACGCCACCTCTCGGTTTCCGTGGCTTACGAATAAAAAATACATGAAGCAGCGGCGAGTGCGGTTGTGTCGGAGTCGTGCCATGCGGTGCCAGCTGTGGCTCTGATGAAGCGGACCCAGCTAAGGTCAAGGTCAAAAGGTCATCGTGGTCTTCTGTCCCATAGCTCAGACGTTGTGTGCACGAAAAGCAAACCTGCGCCGTCGCTCCACCACCACCGTTCGCTTTCCCGTCTTCGAGACACACAGCCACACACGGTCTTGAAGGACCCCTCTTGCTGAGTGTCCGCCATCATCACGATCTGGTTCGAGGTCTTCCCCCTGATTTTCGGGTTGGACCACGTCTCGTTGGCCACGATGTCCGACGTTTCGCTCCGTGTGACGGGAGCTCTGGCGCGACGCTCCCAGCACGCGGAGCGAATCGTCGGACATCGTTCCCAGCGACAACTGCGAGACCGCGGCAGCTGCACGGCCGCCGCTTGTGATTTGTGGGGCGCTTCCCCGCGCCAGCCACCAGGGGGCGGCATTGCCCCTCGAGGATGGGAGACTCCGGTCCCTCGTGATTCAATCCAGGCAATACCCCCGCCCACTCCGTGCTACGAACAATGCGCTCCGGGATCAAACAATAGCACGCAGGGTCGGGATATCGAGCGACGGAGATCCTTGCAAGTACGAAGTGTAAAGCGACAAAAAAACACGAGCGTATAAAGTGGGATCTAGATGGTAATTAGCGAATGTTAATTTTTTATGAATATGTTATCTATATTCTTAGTTTTTTCGGTAAAGTCACGTTGAAGAGAAACAACAAAATAACAAAATATATATAAAACAATAAAAAATTCTCACGACGTTTCGACTGCAACACAAGCAATCATCATCAGGTGTGAAAACCACAACAAGAAAATTTGAATAAAGTGGCGGTTGTTTTTAACGTTAGCACCACGGAGAGAGATTTGACAATTTGTTCGTCCATTATTTTTCGTCTCTCCCCCCCTCTTCTTTTCCGAACATAGATGGACTCTTGATTTAAAGCTTTCGTGACTGCAGTAATTCATATTCTTAGTTTTTTCGGTAAAGTCACGTTGAAGAGAAACAACAAAATAACAAAATATATATAAAACAATAAAAAAATTCTCACGACGTTTCGACCATAACTCAAACGGTCATCATCAGGTGTGTCGGTTTGCATAAATTTATTTTGAAAACGGCATATTTATTTATTTATATAAAAATAACGTTTGCGTCACGCGCAACGATTGGCTGTTTGCCAGGACTAGTCCATCTATTTTTTGAAAAGAGGAGGGGGGAGACGAAATTTGTTTTTATGTATGCTGTCTGAAAGCCACTGTAAGCGTGAACAATCAATCAAGAACTGAAATGATTTATCAAATCTTTCCAATGATTGCTAAGATAGAATCCATCTTCTCGGTTGAAATTGTCTCTAAATCAAGAGTCCATCTATGTTCGGAAAAGAAGAGGGGGGGAGAGACGAAAAATAATGGACGAACAAATTGTCAAATCTCTCTCCGTGGTGCTAACGTTAAAAACAACCGCCACTTTATTCAAATTTTCTTGTTGTGGTTTTCACACCTGATGATGATTGCTTGTGTTGCAGTCGAAACGTCGTGAGAATTTTTTATTGTTTTATATATATTTTGTTATTTTGTTGTTTTTCTTCAACGTGACTTTACCGAAAAAACTAAGAATATGAATTACTGCAGTCACGAAAGCTTTAAATCAAAATATGTTATCTGTTAATTAGTATCGAGACGGACGGAATCGTGGCACACGTGCAACACCATGAACCAACGCACTTTTACATCTAGATTGCAGTTTTACTCATTCGGTGTTTCACTCATTCAGTGTTTTACTCATTATTTTAAAACGTCGAGATTACAAACTAACTTCTTTAGAACTGCTGTTTGTGTTTAGCTTGTCCAACACCCCACACCTCCGATTAGCACGGTTGGCTCCGACACAAGTCCAACATACGGAACGTACAACGCCCTCAATCACCACTCACCCCAACGGTAGAGTGCCCGTGGCTGGCACCTCTCTCGACGGAGCTCCACCACCTCCGGGGGGGGGACGTGGAGGGTGGTGGGAGGGGCGAAGACGCCGCGGCTAGCCCGCGTCCCGAGCGGGGCATGACGAGGGCTGGGAGGGGCCTCCACGTGCGACTCTGCCCACGAGTCCCAGACCGCGGGACATTTCGCATCAACATCAGTTGCGCGATGCGCTTCGCTTCTCCAGTCGGCACCTTCGGAAGCCATTCAAGTGGCTCGCCAAACTGGACGTCCCATTGCAACCAGCTCTTCCCGTTATACGACGGAAGAACAGGCCGGTGTGATTGTAAGAATCGCAATGTGTATTGATCGTGGTTGACTGAAAAGGGGTGGAACGGTGGCGCAGTGATTAGCGCACGACGCTGTGAACCCGGTCACCTCGGTTCTATTCCCAGCCACGGCTAACAGCAGGGCCCAGTGACATATTAACATATTTTGGGAGGCTTACATCCAACAGTGGATTGCTAGAGGGTTGTGAATTCCGATTTAGTTAGAACGAACAATGTCCGTGTGTGTGAATGTGTTTGCCGGGAGCGGTGGCGTAGTGGTTAGCAGACTCGTGTGCAACGGCCGTGGCGCGCGTGCACGTGCGCGCGTAAAGGTGAGCGCAGAGAACGAGATTTAGCAGAGTAGGAGTCAGGGAGCACGAAGGTGGTGGAGGGGTGGAGAGGAGGAGAAGGATGAAGGAGTAGGGTGGAGGGGAGGAGGAGGGTGGAAGGGAGGCAGAGGATGGAGGGGAAGCGCCGCCTCTCCCGTCTCTGCCTGGGAGGGGATGAAGCGATTCCGCCAAGGTCGGCGCGTCCGCGTGTCCCCTTCGTTCCCGGACCTCCCGCACCCCACCCCCCAAACCTCTCACTCTGCACCCCCCTTTGATCCCCCGCTTCGGGGGTCGCGGGGCTGATTTGTGCTGCTGCTTGAGGTTTGGGATTTAATTGCTCCGCGTCCTGGCGGGAGGGGGCGAGAGGGAGCGAGCGTGAATGAGTAATGGTGCGTGTGTGTACATTTAGGTGTTCGCATGTGTGAGTGTGCGTGTCAGTGTATAGGTGTGAGTGTGCGTGTCAGTGTGTAGGTGTGAGTGTGTTAATGTATAGGTGTGAGTGTGCGTGTCAGTGTGTAGGTGTGAGTGTGTCAATGTATAGGTGTGAGTGTGCGTGTCAGTGTATAGGTGTGAGTGTGCGTGTCAGTGTATAGGTGTGAGTGTGCGTGTCAGTGTGTAGATGTGAGTGTGTCAATGTATAGGTGTGAGTGTGCGTGTCAGTGTATAGGTGTGAGTGTGCGTGTCAGTGTGTAGGTGTGAGTGTGTCAATGTATAGGTGTGATTGTGCGTGTCAGTGTGTAGGTGTGAGTGTGTCAATGTATGGGTGTGCGTGTCAGTGTGTATGTGTGAGTGTGTCAATGTACAGGTGTGAGTGTGCGTGTTAGTGTGTAGGTGTGAGTCTGTCAATGTGTAGGTGTGCGTGTCAGTGTGTAGGTGTGAGTGTGTCAATGTACAGGTGTGAGTGTGCGTGTCAGTGTGTAGGTGTGAGTGTGTGAATGTATAGGTGTGAGTGTGCGTGGCAGTGTGTAGGTGTGAGTGTGTCAATGTATAGGTGTGAGTGTGCGTGTCAGTGTGTAGGTGTGTGTCAATGTATAGGTGTGAGTGTGCGTGTCAGTGTATAGGTGTGAGTGTGCGTGTCAGTGTGTAGGTGTGAGTGTGTCAATGTATAGGTGTGAGTGTGCGTGTCAGTGTGTAGGTGGGAGTGTGTCAATGTATAGGTGTGAGTGTGCGTGTCAGTGTGTAGGTGTGAGTGTGTCAATGTATAGGTGTGTGTGTCAGTGTGTAGGTGTGAGTGTGTCAATGTACAGGTGTGAGTGTGCGTGTCAGTGTGTAGGTGTGAGTGTGTCAATGTATAGGTGTGCGTGTGTAGGTGTGAGTGTGTCAATGTACATGTGTGAGTGTGCGTGTCAGTGTATAGGTGTGAGTGTGTGTGTCAGTGTGTAGCTGTGAGTGTGTCAATGTATAGGTGTGAGTGTGCGTGTCAGTGTATAGGTGTGAGTGTGCGTGTCAGTGTGTAGGTGTGAGTGTGTCAATGTATAGGTGTAAGTGTGCGTGTCAATGTATAGGTGTGAGTGTGCGTGTCAGTGTGTAGGTGTGTGTCAATGTATAGGTGTGAGTGTGCGTGTCAGTGTATAGGTGTGAGTGTGCGTGTCAGTGTGTAGGTGTGAGTGTGTCAATGTATAGGTGTGAGTGTGCGTGTCAGTGTATAGGTGTGAGTGTGCGTGTCAGTGTATAGGTGTGAGTGTGCGTGTCAGTGTGTAGGTGTGAGTGTGTCAGTGTATGGGTGAGTGCGCGTGTCCGTATATCGGTGTGCGTGTCAGTGTATCGGTGTGAGTGTGCGTGTCAGTGTATAGGTGTGAGTGAGTGTGCGTGTCAGTGTGTAGGTGTGAGTGTGCGTGTCAGTGTATATGTGTGTAGGTGTGAGTGTGTCAGTGTATCGGTGTGAGCGTGCGTGTCAGTGTTTTAGGTGTGAGTGTGCGTGTCAGTGTGTAGGTGTATCGGTGTGAGTGTGCGTGTCAGTGTATAGGTGTGAGTGTGCGTCAGTGTAAAAGTGTGAGTCCGTGAACTCTCCTGGAGCGCGTCGTGTTCACGTCACCGCCACTCAGTGCAGGATGAATGGGAACCTTTATTTAACCCACGTGACGGCCACTGGCTCAGAGCGGCTCCACGTGAGCGGCGGCGCGGGTGGGGTGGTGAGAAGAAAAGCCGGGAGCGAGGGTTGTTGGAGGGCGAGATGGGGTGGGCGCGAGAGAGAAGGCGCGTGTCGAACAGCGGGCGTGCGTAAAAGCGCAATAGGGAAGAGATTTAGAGGGATGGAGGAAGATGCATTGGGATGGAGAGAGAGAAGGGAGGAGATGGATATGGGCGGAGAGAGGGAAGGGAGGAGGAAGATGGATATGGGTCGAGAGAAGGTGGAGAGAGGCGAGGAGAGAGAGATGGAGCGAGGAGAGAGATGGA